GGGTCGTCTGGAGCCACAGAGAGCTGAGCCAGGCTCCAGGGCCGGCCCAGGAGGGAGCGGGGAGAGGTCTCAGGAGGAGCATGGAGGGGAAGCAAAAGCAGGTGCTGAGAGCCAACAAGGGCAGGGTGCTGAGTCCAAGCAGAAGCAAGGGGTGGCTGTGAGGGCAGGCAGTGGAGCGGGACAGGCTGGCGGGACAGCGTGGAGATGGGGACATAGGGACAAGAGAAAAGGACAAAGTTTAGGAAGGGTTAACATGGCTGGCAGGCGTGGGAGAGGCAAGGGTGACACTGATGCACAGAGGGACGCTCTGCGATGGTGGAAGAGGGAGGACGACCACTGAAAATGCTGAAAACCGTGAGCCCCAGGAGCTCTGCTGGGAGTTGGGCCACTAATACTCACAAAACCGATTTCTTCTTGGTCTCCTTTTGGCCTGGGGAACAGGACATCTTGGCCACAAGCAGGAACATGACCCCATTCATCTGAAAGTGTTGGCACCGATTAGAAGCTGTGCCAAGGGCCAGCTCCGATCTGACATCCCCAGCGCAGAGCGGGGGCAGACTCTGCCGGGCCCCTGCGAACGTCCCCTCCTTTCCCCTTCATGCCCAAGCCATGGCCTCCCCCAAGTTTGGCTGGAGCAAGGAGGGACAGAGAGAGGGCTTCTGACCGAGGAAGGAGAATACAGAGAAGGGGGCAGGCAGTGGGCAGCGGAGGAAAGGGGCAAGTGCCCGTGGTGCGGAGAAGGGAGGCTGGAGAGGGCTGTGGGTGAAACAGGACAGGGTTTTACCACAATGACGACAGTAATGGGGCCTGCAAAGCTCCAGACCAGCTTATCATGAATGGAAATCCAGCAGAAGTCAGGGTTCCCGTAGCCCTCAGGATCCAGGCCAACGGCCAGCCCTGCAGGAGGAAAGGAGAGTCAGGTCCCGACCAAACCGTGTCCGTCCCATCCCAGCACCGAGGGCCGTGCAGGGGCTCTGCTGCTGCTCCTCGCCTTGGGCACAGCGGGGGAACAGCCAGGCCCGCCAGCCCCAGCCTCAGGTCTTTATGTCATCCTCTCCAGGCATCCCTGTCACAGCTCAGCCCATTCACTGCCAGCACCAGGTCACCCGCACATGCAGGCTCAGGCAACCAGGAGACGGCAACCGCAAGCCCCGGGACAGCAGGAGCCCTGCGCCCATCGAGCGAGCCACGGGGAGATGAGCCGAGGGATTCCTTCTCCCCAGGAGGCAAGGCGACAGCCCTTGACACACGTCCCCCAGCTGGACAACGCAGAGCTGCTGGAGAAGCCACTCTTACCGGTGATGATGGCGGGCACTCCCCAGCCGATGGCGTAGTAGAAGCGCATGGCCCCGAAGTTGACATTGCGGGCTTCGGTCTGCATGCGGTAGATGTGGAGGCCCTGGACGAAGAGCCAGGCAAAGGTGGAGAGGAAGAAGCAGTGGAGGAGGATGGCAATCACAGTGCAAAGAAACTGGGGAGACAAAAGCCTTTCAGAGAGGGTCCCTGCTGTGCCAATGCTAACTGCATCACCCGTGCCTCACCCCCACAGGCGTGCTCGTTCAAGCCCACAGACCTGGTTCTCGGTGCGGTTGATGCCCAGGAGGAAGAGCAGCTCGGAGAAGAAGAGGGTGACTGATATGTTGGAGTGGATGCCACGTGTGTTGGACTTGAGGCCTTTGAGGCAGGTCAGGAAGGAGAAGGTCAGCAGCAGGGCCACCAAGGAGAGAGACACCAAGGAATATGTGACAATTGCCAGCGTCTCCAGGTCACCTTCCAGTTGCTGCAGCAGCAGAGTACCAAAGGCAAATGGGAGTTAGGGGGAGATGTGGAAAGCCTGCTGAGCTCTCAACCTCTGCTTGCATCCCACAGGGAATCTTCTGCCTACGCCTGCTTATCCTGGGGCCCGGTGGCTAACAGCCCCCCGACCCCCACAGCCCCGCAGGCCAAGGTTACCTCTCGGTGCGAGCTGTCCATCAGAACCCCAAAGGTGCCAAACTGGGAGCACTGGCAGTGGACGTGTGTGGTATTTCGGTACACGAGCTCACAGTCCCTGGCTGTCCAGAAGCCAGAGGGGTTGGTCCTGCAGCCACCAAAAAGCAGAGCACGTTTAGGAGAGAAGACAGATGAGCGTGGTGCACGGGGAAGGAACCGCAGAGGGGTGGGGGGATTGCCAAGGCTTCTCTACCAGCAGATACAACCACACTCCCCCAGCTGAGGTACCAGTGCCAGAGCCCTGCAGTGACCCTGAGAATGAACCCTCCAGGAGAGAGCAGAAACCCCAACATCCCAGTGTTGTCCAGGCACGCAGCCTGTCACGGCCAGGGAGACTTGGGGAAGGAGGAGATGCCTGGGGAAAGCAGCTCAAAGAGCTCAAAGCCCAGCCGTGCTCGACTCACGGGTTGGAGTGGTTCCACTGGACACAGAGAGGTTTGCTCCTGTTGGCTGTCTCCAGCAGGTGAAATTCCAGCACGAGAGGGGTGTCGAGGGGCCCCCGCAGGAAGGTGTGATTGCTGAACACAGACACACTCACAATGGGGGAGTTCATCACGGGATTCTTGGGTAGCCTGCAAGGAGCAATGGAGCTCTGCCACCACTGTGCCTGGCAGCTGCGCTCCTCCGGGGACCTCCTGGACACCCTGTGCTGGCATCTCAGAAGGAACAGCTCTGCCCAGCCCAAGGGGTTGGGAAACATGGGCAGAGCAACGCCAAGGTGGGGAACAGGCAGAGCACCGCAGCACCGTCTGTCTGAGAACCAAATCCGAGCCATTGCAGACTCAGCATCTGCCAGAGGGAGCGGGGCAGTGTCCAGCCAGCCTCTCTCCACCGGTGCTTGCGGAGGGCAAAGAGGCGCAGGACGTACCTGACGCTGCGGCGATCCACCTGGTAACGTGCGGGCAGCAGCCCCCCCAGGGTGCGGTACATGATGAGGATGATCACAGTGAGAGCGGGTTCGGGCTCTGGCAACGCCTGCCTCGGGGAGGAGTTCTCCACAGTGTAGTTCCCTTCGCCCCCAGCCAGCGTGGGCATGGCTGTGGGGACAGCTGAGGCACACAGAGGAGTGGTGAGAACAGACACACACATCAGGAGCTGCTGGGATGTGAGGAAGTCAGAAGCTCTGAGCTCTCAGGGGTGACCTGCAGACCTCTGGTAGAGACAGGTCTCAGCAGGGGTAGAGGCAGACCAGAAGACTTTTAAAGGTCCCTTCCAACCCAAATCTTTCTATGATTCTACATCTTCCCTGCCACCCACCCTTGAGCGATGCTCACATGCTCACCTTCAGCTTTTGGGGGGCTCAGCACCGACAGCGGCAGCACCACGTGGGTGTGGGGGTCCCAGGCGGGCTGGCCCCGGAAGAGGCTGCTGTGGTAGCGAGGGTAGCGCCGGCGGATGTGCGAGTGGTTCTCCATGCGATCGATGCTCAGCACTGCAGAGGAACAGGGGAGTGAAAGTCAGCCCTACGATGGCCACCTGGAGAGCAACCATGCTCCCCGGGTTTGGAGTCACTGCAAAGGGACTGCATGAGCCACAGGCTGGGCTGTGGATATGTCGCGTGTTTGGGCACGACATGAAATCCCAGCTCCCACAGTGCTCCTTCCCAGCCCAGATCCTTGCTCTGCCATAGGGCAGACCACGGAGGCCAGCTGCTTTTTCACTAGAGACTGGGAGGTAACTGGGAGGAGGCAGCACTCGGGTGGATCTGCTGCCTCTTGGTAGTGCGTCAGGCGCTCCAGGCAGGAATGGGACTAGGGCATCTCTCACAAACACCTCCCAAGGTTTGAGAGAGCCACCGAGGACATCACCAGCACCACC